AGTTGCAACAATAATATATTTTGCTATCATGTTTCAAGCTTTACTTCAAACAAACGTTGGTTATGAAATGCAGTCAACAGCTNTGAGACTTGAAAATATTCGAGCTTAATGAAAACAGACATAGTGACTATATTCCCCAAAATGATGGACACAATATGTGTAATTTTGTATATGGTATAACTTAAATTTTGAGAATTCTACTATTAATGCCAGTAGAAGAAGTAATACATGTTTGATGAACTTCTGTAGGTTATCAATGTTTCAAAAACAGTGTGTTATTTTGACTTCGATTTTTCTTAACCTTACTGTATTGCTAATATAATGGACCAATATTTCAAAATAAAACCTTCTAAATCGAACCAAAGGCACTTTGCTTTTTTTTCCTTTTCAAGGCTAATTTCTTTTGAGTAGTTCAATTCAGAAATTCAAATAATTTGCAATTTACTATGTCCATAAAGCCTATTTTGTAACTCCGTTTAAATTTTAATTATGCCGAGTTTTCTCCCTTCAAATGGTAAAATATGCAAGCACCTTGGGGATAAGCATAGATGTTCCGTCTTTTAACGGCATGGTTTGTCCACCATAGAACTATGCCTGATATTAGATCAACAGCACTGTCAACTAAACTTGATATGATAGAAATAGATCCCGACATCACACTGGCCACTGTTTTAGCTATTAGTAACAACTGGAAAGTAAAAGTACATACATCATAAAGAACACCTAATGCCAGTGACTCTGTAACTGCAAAACGTTGCAAATTGTTTTTAAGGCGGATTCTTGAGTCTTGGTGTCATGACCTCCTTTGGAACCGCCATTGATAAGATTTTTCCACTATGTGTCGCTTTCGCACAGTTAATACTGTTTATTTGGTGGATCTAGTAATGCATATATCATGTGCCCTAATGTCCTTTACTAAAATCAGCGAAAATATTTAGATCACGTGCATCAAGAAAACGTGCATCAAGAAAAAACAAGAAAAGATCAACAAAAACGCTGTATACTTCTTGAGCATAGCATAGCAACAGTATGGACGAAAAGGAATACCAATTGTTTTTTGTAAGTAATTACTTTGAATCTAGCAGTTAATTACTTAGTTTTATGGATTTATTGGAATACAGGTATTTGGATGTATATTTATGGCACCAGTAATTTCCAATGAATATATACATATACTCTTATTGGCTAAGTTTTAGAACTTAAATTTTATGTTCATTATAAAACTAAGAGGTGGAGGATTACAGATGTTCACAAATGAACATCAAACGCATTAAAGAAAAAAAATTTCTAAAAATTCATATAAAAAAAATATTCAAAAAAAAAATTATCAATACAGACGATAGGAAAAAAGGACTCACCAAATTTATACAGAAAGTGAGCTTGGCATAGCAACTGGCTGTTTTCCGTAATCGTATAGCTTCTTGTCGGTTCTCCATAGCATCGTCATTTTCTAGCTGTATCTCTTCAAACGTGGTAATTAATTCATCTTGTGCTTTGTAATATGATCTGAAAAAAGTTATATACCAGAATAC